ATACTTCTTCTTATCAGTTGCACCAAAAACACGATTCAGGACTTTCTGTGCAGGCTTCACAGCAACATCAAGGATCACTTGATGCTGCTGGAAAGTAGATGAGTGGAAAGAACAGCTTTCAGTTCTTCCCACTCATTGAGATCAGCTGCAATCTTGTCATGGTCTCAGGGATTGTGAATATATATATTTTTTTCTTTGCTTCCCTCGGTCTTTTCTATGTCTGTGCCTTTGCCTTTCTCTTTACGCAGTTACTTTTCTGTCTGTCTCTTTTACTTCCTGTCTCTGTCTTCCCTCTGGTTAACTGTTCTCACGTGCTGTTATTTCTTTCCTTGCACTGGTATCTGTCTTGTTCTCTAATTAGTGCACTTTGTAAACACAGTAACTGTCCACTTTGTTTGTTACACCTTGGTAGTACCAATTTTGATCTCTTTTTGCTTTCTTAATTCTTCATTGCATAGATTCAACAAGCTGTTGTATGTATTCCTCCAAGATTTTGGTCCGTATTGACATGATACTCTCACAGATTTGCAGATTTATTAGCTGCACATCTGTGATGAAAATATCTCATTCCATTCCATTCCAAGGTGCTACATTGGATTGAGGTCTAGTGATTATGGAGGCCATTTGTGTATGTTGAATTCTTTGTAATGTTCTAGAAACCAGCTGTGTGACATGGTGTGTTATCCTGCTATGAGCAGCTATCAGCTGAAAGATGCTCAGTTGGTACCTGGGGACCTAAAGTGTCAAGAAAACACACTGCTGCTCCACCAACACCAGCCTGAAGTGTTGATACAAGGCGGAATGGATCTATACTTCCATGTTGTTTATCTTAAAAATGACCCTACCATCCAGGTGTTGCAGCAAAAATCGAGATTCATCAGACTATGCAATATTTGTCTAGTCTTCTGCTGTCCAGTTTTGAATTGTAGCCTCTGTTCTTCCCAAGAGGAGAGGCACCCAACAGGAAACAGACTGTGGTCCTCTAGTGTAATAGCAAAAGAGGACCACATTGTGCTAAAACTGTGCTTCAACGTTTGACATGTTGTGCATTCAGAGATGCTCTTCTGCATACCTTTGTTCAAATTAATGGTTATTTATTAAGTTACTGTTGCAGTCCTGTTAGCTTGACCCAGTCTGGTCACTTCCCTTTGACATCTGGCATCAACAGGGTGTTTGCACCCTTTTTGTTTCTCGTACCTCAGATGGATTCTCATCTTTTGTTATGTCGTCTGCCGGTGTCTTATATTTGAGTCCTTTCTCTTAGTACAATGATATATTTACAATCAGATGTCTTAGGTTGGAGCCATTACTTCCAGTAACAGTACTTTGTAAAGATATATGCACTGATCATTTTCTCTTATTCTGAATGGCCATAAAATCTAAACTAACTAAACAGCCCCCAACAAAGCTGTTAGAGGACAAAGGGAAATCGGGGCTGCAAGGAAGATGAAATTAGAGAAATCAAATCAAGTTTTGGTGAATTAAACAGTACAAATGTGTAAAATTGACTTTTTATTAATAAAAATGAGTCTAAAAGGCCATAATGTCACCTTTTCCTAACAGAACTGAATGTTACCATTGATTAAAGGTGACACAGTATCTTTCCATTTATTTGTTGATAAGGCTCGTTAAAGAGATTAAGAGGTTACTGTATCGGTTTGCACTGCGTCCTGATGGATTTATTAGTAGTTGTCCTGACCTGTGACTCAGGAGCTACCTGCCAATCAGGGTATTGACTCGCTTTGTGTTTTCACCAGCTGAAGGTGTCCACGCTGACATCGGCCTCTGTGGAATATTTCTATCCTAGGCTGAGTGCCAAAGATGTGCTCAGCCTCAACACAGTCTGTCTCACTAAAAGAGATGAACGGGGAGGGAGAGTGGCAACATCCCGGCCATTCCTCAAAGTCTAAACTGTGTTCGCAGGTGGCACAGCAGGCGGCGAATTTATGAAATACTGTTTAACTTGCTTTTCCCATTTTTATCTATAAACTGGCCACATAGTCCTTCAAAACAATAGCCTTTACTTTCCCTAATGTAGAATGTGTTTGAGGAGTTTTGTTTCATTTGCAGTTTTACAACACAGGCAGCTTTCCTTTGTCCTTCCAGAGACACCACAGCTGCTACTTAAAGATTTCTGCTCTCTGTTCTGGTGTTTCTTCTTTTCCTTGTTTTTAAGATTTCAATTTTCACTTGAAACAGAAGGATTAAATAGTCTTAATTGGTTTATACTCAAAGGATTTAGGATTATAATATAGAGTTACGTCATCTTGCCTGAAAGTCAATGTTATTGGTGGTGAAAACAGAGCTTTCTGAGACTGGTGCTTATTGAAAAATATCTTCAAGCACACAGAAACAAAAAGACAGGTTTACCCTGACATATCTGGAGCCTACTTGCTATGAAGAACAATTTTGAGTCGTGATTAAGGTTCAGAATGTGGAACGAAGGCCTTTGGTTCTTCTTTGATAAGATTTTCTCTTGAGGTAGGTGATGCCAGTGCACATCATTTGAGGTTGGAGTCTTAAGATAAGATAAGAGTTGTTGGGCTGTCAGTTTAAGAGCTTTGATAAGCCAGTTATGTTATGTGTGCTACCAAAAGTGACATTGTTGCTCACAGTGTCTAACTTTGCATTTTATAATCTGAGTTTATTCACTTTCTGGCTGAAAGTATGGGAGACTAGAGCACACCAAACTAATGCCTTAGTCATCTAGGCAGTGACCCCCTGGCAACCTCTGGGGGCCGAGGAAAATATGTGCATTCCCATTTCCAACCATTTTTCAAGTGGTTGCTGACCTTGGCGCAGTTGATTTAGACAGTTTCGCTTAGGCTTGGTTGTCAATAGTTTGCATGGTACACACTGATTTGTCTGCAAACACTCACAAGCTACCCACTGTTTCCAGTTTCTGGTTTGGATTGCACTTTTCAGATTCACTCCAGCCTGTTAGCCTTCAAAGTAAAAGCTTTGCCTTATTGTGGTAACTAACCCCTTTCATAAGGTGTAAACTATATAAAGCAAACTTGCAAAAGGAATCAAACCATTCCAAGAGACTTCCTCAAAACTTTCTCAAAAAGATGGAAAAATAAAAGGAACATAAGGAAACAATAAAAAGATGCAAAACAAGAACATGTTACAAAAGAAAATCATGAATCACTGACTATAAAGATGCAATCCAGCCCTGAAGAGATGCAGAACAACCACAAAGATGCAAAACAAAAATAATGAGATACAAAAAGACCTCACTTGAAGACTGACTAGAAAGAGATAAAAAAAAAAAGACTAAGCGATCATAATTAGAAACAAAATGGCCAATGGAAGAGCGGGGGGTCTTTTACATATCAGTACTCATGGTTCGCTCATATCAGTAGATAGGATTTTGCAGTCCTTTTTTTTTTTTTTTTGCAGTACCTTAAAACACTGGAATTAAAGGTGATATTTACCACCGTCCTCTCAGCACTTTACAGCTGGATTCAGAGCACAGTTTCCTGTTGTTATTTCCCTCCATCCCACTCGACACATGCTGAATTTTACTGAGGGGAGAGCAAGAGGGGAAAGTGAGCCGAACTGGAAATCGCATTACACGTTTCCGCAAGGACTTGGAGGGAAAACAACCTGTTGTTGTTGCCAATGCCAGACAGAAAACCCCTCGAGCAAGTGTCAAAGTGGGACACGCTTCTTTTTCATCCTGTGTCAGAAAATATTCCAACTTGTTCACACGTGTAACCCCAACCTGACAGCTTTTTCAGAAGTAAGATTGGCAGGAAGTTATTTATTTATTTATTTTTAATGAAACGTGTATAAATGTTGTGTTGAAAGTAAAAGCATGAAAAGACAAAAACTGGGATGTTTTCCACATTTTCCCAAACCATCAGATATACTTTAATGCCTGTTTACAATATGGATTACTGAGCTGTCATTGGTAAAGGACGCAGTTCATTTCTGACATCTGTCTTTGGACCAATTGCTTGGCAACAGCACATACTCCATCATCCTACGACTTCGCCATCTCAGGCCACTCAATCCTCCTCGAGGCTTTTCATGTAATTCACAACGATGTTCCTGTGTTTCATTGGCATGTTGAACCTTGATTTCATTGAATGGAAACTGGCTATTATGCATTTGCTTTAATGGCGGTTTGACACGATCGCAGCTAATGGGACGGGCGTTACTCTGAAAAGGAAAATAATCCACCATTTAAATACAGCTTACTATAGAGAGGAAATTAATGCATGAAGGTTGAACTTGCTGTTGGATAACACAGGATCTGTGGAGTGCCTCTTAGTAAAGAGTCGGGGACATTACACAGCAGATAATGGCATGTCTGAGTGCTAATAATGAATGTAAAGATGAGTTTCACATTTTCTTATCCGACACCTATGATCTAATATATTTTTCTTATTTTACTGGAAAGATGAGATTTGTGTTTGAAGTTGAGTTTGAAACATGATTTTGTTTTTATTTTAATAATAATTAATGCTAAGCTGTACCCATCCATGATTAAACTTGTTTTAACATTGTGGATTGCTCCCTTTTTCAAAAAAAAGTTTAAATGTCTCTAGATCTTGATCAAGAGTGATTGGATAGCAAATCCATATTCAAACACTCAGCAGTGGTGTTGAGCTTTAGTTAGAGACCAAAACAATAAAGTTTGTGTTTAGTGTGGCTGGGTTCAGCCCAGATTGAGGAGTTTGTGGTCTAGATTTGGTGATCTGGACATCTGACCATGTCAGGGGGAGGGGACACCAGGGTTGGAACCAGTGATGTTATTAAGCCATAAATAGACATAAGTTATTTTTGGCAGTTCTTCAGCGATCAGAGGCCGATCCCCTCAAACTGTAGGTGTGCCTGACCTGAGATTCTTTAGCAAAATATGAAAGAAGTGGATCATCAGTTCACTCCTCTTTTGAGGCTTTAACCCCTCAACTTATTCAGGCCTCCATAGAGGCAGCTCTTCAATCGGGGCCAGTACTGACAGTTTGTCTTTTGTCCTTTTCTCCTAACAGCGATCCTTTTGGCCCTGATTCATTTGTGATTTGGGCACCACGACTGATCGGAATAAGTTGGAATCCGCTTCTGTCTGGGTGAGTTTGTATTGCCTGTCGAGAGACCCTAAAGACACTAGTTAGACTCTGGTGTGCCTTTTATTTTCTCTGCATTAGGTCATGTCAGACATAAGTTACATACTTGAAATCACTAATTTTATGCTCTGCTCTTTACTATATTTAGTCTTTTGTTTATCTTTCATTCTCTTTTAGAATAAAAGACAGAAGGAACAACATGACAATCCTGCCCCTTTTAGAAATGATAGCTGATGTGTATGAGAGTGAATTTGACATTTCAGACATTGCAAATACAGACTATATTTGACCTGACCATAAAACTTGCTGTCCTACAGAAATTGTGTAGTATTTAGAAGTAAGTGCTGCATTTAATGAGAACAAGCATTAAAGTCAAACTATAGTTCATGAATTAAAGGTTATGGAGAGCATAACATTGCCGTACTTACCGGCTTTAAGAAGCTTGTACCTGTAAGCATTAATTGGTGAACTATGGTTACCTGTAGTTTGTCATGTTTGTCTGTAACATCTCATTAACTACCAGCTGAGTCACTTCCATTCAAGCTACAACTACATTTGCAACAATATGCTAGCAACCAACGCAATCACAGGGAGGCTTTTGAAAACCAGTTTGGGAATATAAATGTTTCTCTTGTGAGTTTTGGTTGCCACAGGATCATGGACTGGTCTGGTGTGGCTCAGTTTTAGCAAACACTCAGAACCAGTCAGGCGAATTTTTCCCCTCACAACCGGTGGCTAACTGCTGGTTGAGGATTAATCTCTGGGCCTTTATTCTCTTCTCACATGACCAAAGGTAATTTCATTTGGTTAGTGGTCACATGTCTGCAAAATACTTTTACCACTATTTTTTTTTTTTGCCACATATTTCTCCCATAGATTTCAATTTAGTGTCTTTCTTTAATCAGAATCATAAGAAACCTGTCTAAACTCTGCTGGTGTCATTATTCTACCAAATGAAAATTTCCATTTCCTTCATAGTGATAAGGTAAACCTTGTTTATTGCAGCAATTACTGCTGAGTAAAACAAAAAGAAAATATTTGTTTACGTTCTGTGAAATAATTAAGTTGTCACAAAGCATTAAATTACACTGAAATACGCAGAATTAATCCTCAGGCCTTCTTCTGGTTTTCTTATGCGTGTGGGAGTAGACGACGTTTGTTTGGGTTCGCCCATAATTAACGTGTCAAAGCGCCAGCGACGATATAGAGGTGTTAATGGTGACATGGTGACATGTAAAGGTTTGAGGGCAGCTCTAAAAATATGCCGCTGTCACCTCATCAGTTCTCCCACCGCCGGTCGTTTCCCCGACGCCCTCGGAGCGAGTCTTTGACAAAACATCCACGATATGACAACCCGTGTCTCCTAACAACGTGCCACGGTTTCCAAACGCGCTTCAAACTGACTGACAGACTCTTGAAAGCGTTAGCTGGCAGCGCTGCCGTCGATGGATGTGCGAGCCAAGGTGCAGGTTGAAGAGGAGGCGATACGTGTGATGACTCTCTAATCGACTGGTTCTTTTTTTCTTCTTCTTTTTTTTTCCCTGAATGTTTTCCTGCCGAGCTTCTAAAAGACACTCAAGCTTGGAGTTTTTAGAGCTTGTGCTGTGAAAATGCTGCAAATGGACGCACACACACGAACACCTACACCAACACGCACACAAATTCCTGCTGTGCTGCTTCCTGATGTGCGAATGAGCTCATACTGAGGGATCGGGGTCGAGGTGCATTATCTCAGGTACCAGAGAGTCTTATTTACCACTTCCTGTCAGGCTTAAAACCCACAAATCAGGGCAAAAACACACAGAGACAGAGAAAAGCTCTTCTTCATACACCTGTGATTATGGTTTCTGGTTTTTTGTTTTTTTTTTTTTTGGTTCTCTCAAATGTCTTCTCACAGCCTCACGGCCTGTCCTTAAATGCCATCACCTCACCTGTGAACTCCGTTATTTAATAAGTGAATTGAAGTGTTTCATTCTGCAGCGAGATGTGCTCCATTTGAAGACCTGATGGTACAAAATGATTTCTGCCATGAGAGGAAAAAAGCACATTATGAGCTATGAGTCATCTGGAGACTGCATTAACCTCTGAAAGTTTTTCTTTGTTTTTGAAATATTATTCAAACTTTTTTTTTCTTCCAGGAAACAACATAAAATAATAACAGTGCCATTGTCCCACAGTTGATAATTTGTGTGATCCTCATTTACATAATTTCTGTAAGCAGATTAGCTTAATTAAAACTGTCAGTGCTGTTTTGAAGTTTAGCCAGAGCTGCTGCGCTTGCCTTTATCTCCAAGCTCCTGGATCTTTATTTGAATCTGCAGATGTAGATCGAGCCTCCGGCTGCTGTAGTCGCAGCGATGACCTTTTTCTGCTTTAAAAATTGCATGTTTTCTCAGGATAGAGATGCCTCTCATCAAAGAGCAGAGAGGAACATTGATTAGTTTTCCAGAGGGAGTTTTTTGGACTTACTGTGACCTCTGTGAAAGTTGAAGGGATGCATCATGCTGTAGTCATAGGCAGTTTAAAGGATGGATGAAGCTTCATGGGCTGAAACGTGAAGCCAATCCTGAAAGCGACTTAAACTGGGCTTCTTTTTAATGGCCGGCAGCAGTTGTGTCCTCTGCTCAATCGATCTTTTATTTCACTAAAAAGATTTTTGAGGCTTTTACAAGGTCAGTGTGCAAGTTTATAGTCTCATACATTAAAACGTGATGTACATATTGTGTTGTTGTAGTCAGAAAAGTTAATAAACCAGGGAAAGCATCCAGTTTCATGTTGTTGACTGCAAAGATTGTCAACTCAAGTCTTCATAACCAGTCTGTGGCTTCAGTAGAAGTGTGCTTTCTGGTCTTATATTTATTGGAGAAAGCGATACATTTAAAGTTTCAGTTTTAAGTTTATAAGGTTAAATTATCCATCTGTAATATAATGGACTCTGTAAGTCACTGTAAATCATCCTGGGATGAATTGTTGTTATGCTTTATAATTAAACTACAGTTGAAACTGAAATGCAGCTGACATTAGTTTTGTCTAAATTCTCACTGGCTTTTATAGCTGATTTTAAGTTCAGACTTTGTTTTTGTACCTGGAGAGAGGTACTGGATGAAGTCAGTTCTCACCAGGTAACCTCCCAGCATTGCGGGAGTTGATGTGACGGACAGTGCTGCACAGGCAGACCTGTGCTGGTGGAGGGAATCCATCCAGCAGTTCTGCCAGCTCTGACTCTCTCTGGCTTCTCAAGCTGGAAATTGCCATAATGTATCCTGCAGTGGTCGGCTGCACAGGCCTCTTTCAGACGTTCCGTCTGCTCTGCTGACACACATATACACAGTGCAACACTATCACATTATATGTGATGCACAGAAAGAAACGCGCAGATACAACAGTGTCAGCTAATGTGTGCACGTAATATATGCTTAAATACGCAGAGAAAAACGGTACGATTACTAATGTGGACTCAGGTTTGGTTAAGCTGCTGTTGTAAAGAAGCATTAGGGAAGCAGTAGTTTGCACTTTGATCACAGCGAGAAGCTTAGAAACAAACTCAGCTTGGAGTCGTTCTTCCCAATTCTGGGGTAGAAATTCTTCTGTCTTCAGTAACTCGTTATCTTTGGCTCACCTTACCCTTTCTGAGTCAAGCACACAGCCTCTCTACTTTCTTTTACTGTATCTGTCTTTACTGTTTAAAGCAGCACAGTAACCCAGCAGCTAGCTGGCATTACCCATCATGCCTTGTGACAGTGTGTGTGTCATTGTGTTTGGTCTGTTCAACAGGCTTAGCTGCAGATTTTTAATTCTTCTTTTGCATGAATGTTTATGATTTATATCATTTAGTGTAACAAGGAAAAAAAATGTTCTTTTCGGTGCTACTAGTGACCAATAATAAAATGTGCCCCTGACATTTTAAAAGCCACAGTTTATCTTTTCTGTTCACCAGTACTCCAAAACCTAAAATCCCACAAGTACTGATTCCAATTTTCAAGAGTAAGGGTGATGCAGAGCTGTAGCTACTGCAGAGCAATAAAGCTGATGAGCCATGCCATGAAGCTATGGGAAAGAGTTGTTGAAGCCAAGTTAAGGGGAGAGGTGATGATCAGCGAGCAGCACTACTGATGCAATGTTTCCTTTGAGGTTGTTGATGGAGAAGTGTAGAGAGGTCAGAAGGAGTTTCATGGTGTTATTGTGGCTTTAGAGAAAGCATATGATAAACTACCAAGAGAGGAACTGTGGTACACCATAACGAAGCCAGGAGAGGCAGAGAGGTAAGCGAGGGTGGTGCAGGACGTGCATGAGGACAGCGAGACAGTTGTGATGTTTGTGATAGGAGTGACAGATGGGCTCAAGGTGGGGGTGGGATTACATCACAGATCTGAGCACTTTTTTGTTTGCAGTGGTGGTGGACAGACTGCTAGATGAGGCTGGCTGGGAGTCTCCGTGGACTATGATGTTTACAGATAATATTGATCTGTAGTAAGGGTGGGGAGCAGGTGGAAGAGAGCCTGGAGAGGTGGAGGTATGTTGTAGAAAAAAAAGGATTGAGTGTCAGTAGAAGCTTGAAAGAATACATGTGTATGAATGAGAGGGAGACGGGTATAAGAAGCAAATAGAGTAAAGTGGATAAAATTTGCATACAAGAAACAGTGGAGAAGAGAGGCAAAGAACAGAGTGCCGGCATGGTGGAGTGGGTGGAGATGAAAGAATGAGAGAATGAAAGGGAACATTTACAAGATAATACCAGGACTTACTTGCAGGACTTATCTAAGATTCGGAGACTGTAGCATGGACAAGACAGGAGGCCAAACTGAAGATGATAAGATTTTTATTGTGATTTCCATTGAGTGGAATGGACAGGATAAACAAGAAGCACATCAGCTCAGGTTAAGCAGGTTAGAGAGGAAAGAGTTTGGACAAGTGCACAAGAGGGATAGTGGATGCATTGAACAAAGGATGTTGAAAATAGAGGTTCCTGGCAGGAGTAAAAGTGAAAGACCACAGAAAAGGTT